AATTCATGAAAAATGATCCAAAATCCATGAAAAATGAGCCAAAAATCGCCAAAAAATATTAGAAAATGAGCTAAAAGTCGTGGAAAATGAGCTGGAAAATCCAGAAAAATCGATTCAAAAATGATAGAAAATGAGCTGGAAATCATGAAAAATGGACCAAAAATCGTGAAAAATGACCAGAAAATCATGAAAAATGACCAAAATTGTTGGAAAATAGCTGAAAACTATAGAAAATTCATGTAAAATGACCCAAAAATCATGAAAAATGGTCCAAAATCCATGAAAAATGAGCCAAAAATCATGAAAATTAGCTGAAAATCATATGAAGTTGGCTCAAAAATGGTCAAAAATGACCCAAAAATCATAGAAATCAACCTGAAATTGGCTGAAAAATCATCAATTCCAGCCAAAAATTGTCAATTTTGAACTGAAACTCTCCTCCCATGACTTGTAGCTTGATTTTGATGATTTTTAGCTTGAATTTCAGTATTTTCAGCCAAAAAATTGCGCATTTTCAGCGATCCAGCTGCGCAAGACCAGCAGCGAAACGATTGGCGTTGGTTTCAGAAGACATCGACGATGAAGACGTCGAGAATCTGGATGATTCTGGAGACTCAGACGGGATTAAAGATGAGCAATCATCGCTGGAAGACGAGGTTTTCGAAGAGGACGAACCGAATCCCTACGATCTCTTCCCATTCAAATATGTGCCACGTGTCGAGGTGAGGGTTTTTTTTGACTGAAAATTGGCTGAAAATCCTTTATTTTTTCAGCTTAAATTCCTCTAAAAATAACAGATTTTCGTTTAAAAATCCCCGGAAAATGGTCAAAATTTGGCTGAAATTCTTGAATTTTGTGCTGAAAATCGCGCCAAAATCAACCGATTTTTGTCTGAAAATTCTCGAAAAATTGGTCTAATTTTGACCGGAAATCTCTATTGTTCCATCTAGAATTTGAACTGGAAGCCCTCGAAAATTGGTCAATTTATAGCTGAAATTCCTGTTTTTCGATCTTTTTTTTAGCTGAAAATTCTCGAAAATGGCCCGAAATTATTGCTGAAAATCGTGATTTTTCCATCCATTCTTAACTTAAAACTGTCGGAAAATGTCCGAATTTCGGCTGAAAGTCTTGCATTTTGAGCTGAAAATCACCCCCAAAAATAGCCGATTTTTGTCTGAAAATTGTCAAAAAAAAGGGTAATTTTTTGCTGAAAATCCTAATAAAATTGGTCAAAGTTTAGCTTAAAATCTTAAACTTTAGCTAAAAATCCGCCAATTAACCGATTTTTGTCTGAAAATTCTTTTAAAAATGGTCAAAATTCGGCTGAAAATCTGGAATTTAACACTGAAAATCGCCCCAAAAAACCGATGTTCGTCTGAAAATCCTCAAAAAAATAGTCTAATTTTGGCTGAAAATCTGGAATTTTAAACTAAAAATCCGCAGAAATTGACAGATTTTTGGCTGAAAATCCGAAAAATGGGGTTAATTTTGGCTCAAAATCTTGAATTTTGAGCTGAAAATCGCCCCAAAAATAGCCGATTTTTGTCTGAAAATCCTCAAAAAAATGGTCAAAATTTGGCTGAAATTCTTGAATTTTAAAACCGATAAGTTTTGAAAAATAGGGAAAATTTAACTGAAAATCTCGTTTTTCGGGCTAAAAATCCTCAAAAAAATAGTCTAATTTTGGCTGAACATCTTCCAAAAATGGTCAAAATCTAGCTCAAAATTCTCAATTTTGAGCTAAAAATCCGCCAAAATTAACCGATTTTGGTCTAAAAATCCCCAAAAAATACCGAATTTTTGTCTGAAAATTCTCGAAAAAATGGTCTAATTTTGGCTGAAAATCTGGAATTTTAAACTAAAAATCCGCCGAAATTTACAGATTTTTGTCTGAAAATCCTCAAAAAATGGGATAGATTTTGGCTGAAAATCTTGAATTTTGAACTAAAAATCCGCAAAAATTAACCGATTTTCAGCTAAAAATCCGCGAAAAATAGTCAAATTTTGGCTGAAAATTTGGAATTTTACACTGAAAATCGCCCCAAAAATAGCCGATTTTTGTCTGAAAATCCTCAAAAAAGTGGTCAAAAATTGGCTGAAAATCTGAAATTTTAAGCTAAAAATCCGTCAAAATCAACCGATTTTCGTCTAAAAATCCGCGAAAAAATGGTCAAAATTTGGCTTAAAATCCCGATTATTCGAACATATTTTGTCTGAAAATTTCTGAAAATTTCCATTTTCAGCCTCCTCAAACAATTTTCTCCGTTGGCGAAATGGCACGTCGTCTGATACCGAAACTCGAGGCGAAACCAGAATTCGATTCTAAAAACGAGGTGAAGGACTACTGTATCGCGTGTTTGGACTATCAGAAGAGCTGTAATCATCAGGATGATAACGAAATTCGATTCTTGGAGTTTTGGACCCAAAACTATCATCGTAACGACGGCGATTTGACGAAGGACCGTGTGATGGCCGGCTTGAAGGAAATCGCCAACGATTGGCTCTAAACTTGTGTCATTTTTCTTGATTTTTAACCGAAAAATCGATATTTTTAAGCCAATTTGACCCCCATTTTGACCCGTTTTTCCATTGTAAATGACCCCCATTTTAATCGATTTTTAGAGCTAAAAATCGATTTATTGAGCCTAGAAATTGCTCATTTTTCCCCTATTTTCTTCCAATTTTTGACCGAAAAATCGTCCTTTTTAAGCCATTTTGACCCCCCCCCCCATTTTGACTCAGTTTTTCCCCATTGTAAATGATGCGTTTTTCCACTTTTTGGTCATTTTTGAACCAAAAAATCGATTTTTGAGCTCAAAATTGCTCAGTTTTAGGCACAAAAACCAGTGATTTTCACCCAATTTTCCAACAATTTTTTTGGCAAAAAACTGCATTTTTAAGCCATTTTTGAACCGAAAAATCGGTTTTGTGAGCCCAGAAATTGCTCATTTTCCCCCTATATTTTCTCCAATTTTTTTTTCATTTTTCACTCTTAAAAAATACCGTAATCCCCCGGCTACAGTACCTCTCCAATTTTTTTCTCCGCCCGCGCCTGACTACAGTAGTCCCTCCTACAGTACCCTAATTGTCTTCACCCCCGACAACTACAGTATCCCCCCTTACTCTTTTCACAGTAATCCGCCTTTAGGTTCTTCCCATTCTTTTTACCGTATCCTACAGTAATCCTCACTTGGCGACTACCGTAATCCTATTAGATTCTGATTTGTCTTGCTAAATTACAGTAATCTACAGTACCCCTCCGCTCTCAAAGCTACCGTATCTTTACTTTCCTGATATCTACAGTGCCTAATCTACAATCTATGTCCACAGTTCCCCCTTCCCCGC